ACAAATATTTTATATATGTTTATATTAGAAACATTCTATGAAGGATCTCGCGGATATATACAAATATTTGAGAAGATAGGTGGGTTGTTAAAACGTTTACAGTTTAAGCTTTGATTAGTTTTACTGAAGAAATTGATCGGTCATTTTAGTAAGAGCATACAAGTTGCTGCAATCTGTAACCAATGAATTAAATCACGTGTCATGTGTATATTTTGTTAATTTTTTCAAACTCTTTTAGTCAGTTATTGATGGAGAAATAAATATGTAGAAGCTTAGCTTTGAGTTTAAGAGTGTGTTCCGATAAGTAATGTTTTTAGTTCATTTACAATTTTGTGTTGTTTTAAAACTAAAACACCATAACTTGGTGTACTATCTTAGTCACCCTACATACTGGATGTGTGAGTTTTTGTATTTGGTAAAAAACGTGCACGTGCAAGACACACTCCAGTCTGTTGAAGTAATTACATGATATAATATATAGATAACCACATTTTCGTATACTTTCATCTGGACTTCTTTTTTTAATGTACTAACTAATAAAGTTTTGTTGTTTTCAGTTTTAAAGCATACTTTATTTTACCAGTGACTGTGATTTGTACAGGGGTGAAAAAATCATCCGCTCAAAACAAGTAAAAAGAACGTCAGTTCTATCAGTTTCTGCTAACTGTCTCCTGCCAGCATAATGCTCTTAAATGTTTAATTAAGATGACCAGTAACCTTAGTAATTTCCAAGAAGACTCAATTAAAATGAACCTGTCAAAGTTGAGTAACCAGACACTTTTCAATATCTATAAGAAAGTACATTTACTGTTGTTTTGTAGTTTAAAGTTTAAATTTGAAATGAACCTAAGTAAATTAATCATGTCTGTTTTGAATCTGTTTGTATATTCAGTGCTTGAAAATACTTCGTTTGAAATCCCGAAATTCGAGACTTGGCGCATGCGTTAAATGCACGTGCGTCTTGCATTAGAAGAATCTTTTGTATATCTGTCGAGTCGATATATATTTGTGTCTTTTTTTTAACATGTTTTAACGGACACAAACAGTGTGTATATGTGTCTTCAACCACTTAAGTATTTCTGATGCAACTGTGATAATAAGGGGTATAAAATATTGAAAGGCCTATTGGAAGTATCCGTTGTGTGTGTGACTGAAGTGTCAGTCTGTTATATAGGCAGTAGTTGCAGTATCGGCTAAGTTGTAATAAACACGTCTGAAGTTTTATAGATTGGTTTGGATCGAACACTTTTTGAAAGTGATTTTAAACACGAACTAAAACAATAGAATTTGAATTTATGTTGTCTAAATGTTTTTTTTTTTTGTAAACCATAAATATAAGGTTAAGTGGCTTGAATATATATTTTACATTAGTAAGATGGAAAGTTGGTGTGTTTTTAATAACATGTAACGAAATCAACAGAAATACAATATCAAGGGTATGGCGTAAAGGTATGTATTTGAGCGTACTCGGAAGTAAATACAGTGTTTTTCAACGAAAACGTATTTGTTATATATATGTGTGATGTGTTTCACTTAATAAATGGCGTGAAAAATGTTCTTTTATTTTCAATACGGAATTTAAGCTATTATGTTTTCTTTTGAACTGAATTGTGTTTGATAATTCACCTAAAGAGGATCTGTTATTAAAGTAAGAATCTATGACGTCACAGAAAACCCGACGAGAAACACTACGATGGAGGGATTATGTCACGTAGTCAACCAACAGCTGTTGGCACTCGACTGTCCGACAGCGGCCATCTTACAGTGTATCCCAGAACCAGGGTAAGTTCATCGTCAAGAGTTTGTTGATAAATGACGATTTGTTTTCTTTGCAATGATATACCTTGCACCCATTCATCCAAACAGTGTGTATTTTATGTAGTAAAGTTCAGTGAACGTTCGGAATTTGTTTGAAACTCGCATATTTCTGTTCTGGAGTTAATCGCAGTCAAAATATACAACGCCTTCTAGTTTTCTTGAAGCGGCGTTTTATTTGTATTTAACAAAAATTAATATAATATATATATTTCAAAAAATAACATTAAGTAACGCTCACCAACGAACAGGCAGAACTGTTCACCAACGCGTCCAGAATGATATCGTTGAGAAAATAAATGCATCATTTAATTAAACGTTTACGTCTAATAACGACAGAAAATTTTACTGTCTCAAAGTGGAGCTATTACAATTATCGTTCTCAGGCAACTTAACGTCGTACAAAGTTTCGTTAAAAGATGACTAGTTTCAATATGGTACAATATTACAGGGTAATGACCGTAGCCCTGATGTAGCTGTTGTACAGAGAAAACATGACTGCTCTCTAGACATTTTATTTTTAGGGTAAATCGAAAAAATGACTAGTTTAAATATGGTACAAGATTACATGGTAATGACCGTAGCCCTGATGTAGCTGTTGTACAGAGAAAACATGACTGCTCTCTATACATTTTATTTTTCGGGCGGGTAATGACCGTAGCCCTGATGTAGCTGTTGTACAGAGAAAACATGACTACTCTTTAGACATTTTATTTTTAGGGTAAATCGAAAAGATGACTAGTTTAAATATGGTACAAGATTACAGGATAATGACCGTAGCCCTGATGTAGCAGTTGGACAGAGAAAACATGACTGCTCTCTAGACATTTTATTTTTCGGGCAAATCGAAAAGATGACTAGTTTAAATATGGTACAAGATTACAGGGTAATGACCGTAGCCCTGATGTAGCTGTTGTACAGAGAAAATATGACTGCTCTTTAGACATTTTATTTTTAGGGTAAATCGAAAAGATGACTAGTTTAAATATGGTACAAGATTACAGGATAATGACCGTAGCCCTGATGTAGCAGTTGGACAGAGAAAATATGACTGCTCTTTAGACATTTTATTTTTAGGGTAAATCGAAAAGATGACTAGTTTAAATATGGTACAAGATTACAGGGTAATGACCGTAGCCCTGATGTAGCTGTTGTACAGAGAAAATATGACTGCTCTTTAGACATTTTATTTTTAGGGTAAATCGAAAAGATGACTAGTTTAAATATGGTACAAGATTA